ACCCTAAACCCCAAACCCCAAGTAGCATGGTGCACGAAGGCCCCGCGAGAGCTTTTGGCACATAACTAACCCGAGACCCCGAACTAAAGGATGTAGCGTAGGTCAGATCGGAAGGACCCCTCTATGACTTAAGGCATCATATAGGGGCCTTAACAGAATAGGGTTTTGGGGGGGTATATTATACTATAATTTTGCCCCCCCCCCCAAAAAAAAACTAGTATAGGTAATTATGAAGGCCCCTACATGATTCCTGTTGGGTTTGACTGACCGCTCAGGAGGTTTCGATGCAACATCCATGGCGAGACCTCCTGCGCCCTGACGATCTGCTTGTTCAAACGCTCCGTGGAAGAGGAAAGCGACCTGTGTTAGGGTTTAGGGTTTAGGGTTTTAGGGGTTTAGGGCTTTTGGGTTTGGGGTATTTAGGGTTTAGGGGTTCAGGGTTTGGGGTTTGGGGTGTAGGGTTTGGGGTGTATTTTTTTTAGGGCTCCAGGTGACGGTGTTGAGATACAGTGAAGCCCAGAAAGTTGGAACAAGGGTTTTAGGATGATCCGTGCGAGGATCCCCTATCCGTCACCTTAAGGGCACCAGGGCCATGATGTTCCAACTTTTTTTGGCTTCGGTCTTGGGGTCAAACCGACCTTAAGCCAACACCCTAAAGCACAAGAGTAGCGTAGGGGCCTTAATAATCAGACTAGGGTTCTGGGGTTCATTATACTATCATGATACTGAGGAAACCCCAAAATAGTCTAGGTAATCACAAAAGCCCCTATACTACACCCCTAAGAGAAACATTGAAGCCCAAACCCAGTACGGCTCGTTACAGCCCAGCGTTCCAAACACTCACCAGATCGAGCTCCTGACGCCTTGCCGTGTCTTTCGCGGATTTCAGCTGTCATACAATGTACGTTTAACAAAATTCAAAATCTGGTAGTAGTATAAAGTAGTATATATTCCATTATATGCTAAGTCAGTGATGTTCTGTACATATTTTAGCTTGCAGTCCCCAAATCCTAACAGGCGCGCTCTAAACTCTCAAGCCAGCCCGACAGGCCCAAACTGACCTTTAATGGAGCCCTGGTAGCCTGATTGCAAGAGCCCGTATACAACAGCTGAAAAGACAACTTCAACAATTAAAAGGGCTTAGGGTTGTAGGATCAGGGTTTAGGGTTGTAGGGTCAGGGTTTTAGGGTTTGGCGCTTTAGGGTTCGAGGGTTTAGGGTTTTAGGGTGTTAGGGTGTTAGGGTTTTAGGGTTTCAGGGTTTAGGATTTAAGGGTTTAGGGTTTACGATTAGCCGTGTAGAACACCTTCATAGAGACCTTGGCAAGGAACTGTTGAACCCAGACAAAACCCCTATGTTTCAATCCTTGTTATAGAAGCCTGGCCACTTTAACCCTTAAAAAACTATTCCCTAGACCCCTATACCCAAAACCCCTGAAACCAACAGCCAACAAAAAAACAAAGTAGGCGTAACCCGTAAACCCGAAAGCCCTAAACCCTACACCCAAAAGCCCTAAGCCCCCAAATCCTAAACCCTAAACCCAAAGCGCCAAAACCCCAAACCCTAAATCCAAAATCCCTACACCCCAAACCCTAAACCTAAAGCCCCAAACCCAAAACCCCAAGCTCCAAACCCAAAGCCCTAAACCCCAAAGCCCCAAAACCTAAACCCAAAAGCCTTCAAACCCTAAACCTCGAAGCCCTAAACCCTAAACCCGAAAGCCCTAAACCGAAAAAGCCCCAAACCCTAAACCCAAAAACCCTAAAACATAAGCCCCAAACCCTAAACCAAAGCCCCAAACCCTAAACCCTAAACCCCAAACCCCAAAGCCTAAAACCCTAAACGTCAAACCCAAAAGGCCAAAAGCCCTGAAGCCCTAAACCCTAAACCCAAAAAGCCATAGGCCCCTTAGGCCCTAAGGCTGCGGCTTGCAGTCGTGCTTGCACTGCTCGACCTCGGGAGCTGTTCGGATTCACAGGATCTTCGCGATCAGTACTAAGGTAGTTCTCTTGACAAGGGTGTCGGATTTAACGCTTAGGATTTAGGGTTTAGGGTTTAGGGTTTAGGATTTAGGGTTTAGGGTTTAGGGTTTAGGATTTAGGGTTTAGGGTTTAGGATTTAGGGTTTAGGGTTTTGGGTTTCGAGCTTCAGGGATTCGGGATGAGGGTTTAGGGATTAGGTAGGATAGGGTGTAGGATTGAGGGCCCCCGCATTAGTACGGCACTCTTATTAACAAGGACCCCAAAAGGGACCCGAAGTTAGAGAACAACCCGCTTAGATCTTGCTGGGATTCCTTTTCTTGGCGGCCGCTATAAGCCCTAAACCCTGAAGCACTACAACTCATGGGCACATGTATTCTACAGGGCTTCCTAGGCCCTAGGCCTTTGGCGATTGATAAACCCTAAACCCTAAACCCCTAAACGGTTTAGGGTTTGGGGTTTGGGGTTTAGGGTTTAGGGTTCTGATAGGTGTAAAGTCTGGCTGGACTTGGGGGTTGACTTCCTTACAGGTACCTTTGAGAATTTCTAGACGTCTACAAACGTACGTACTGCGGAGCCTCAGGTTTTTGGGGGTGTCAGAGTTTGTGTTCGAGGCTTTTGGGGGTTTTTGGGTGCAGGGGTTTTAAGCTTGAGGCGGATTGGGTTTGCAGATGTAGGGTTCGAAGGCTTAGGCTCGCAGGGTTTCTTGGTTTAGGGTTCTTAGGGACTGAATACTCTAGCCCAGGATTATATGAGCCCAAAAGATGATTATAAAGGTTACCTACTCAGCCTGTAAGG